AAGGAACTTCTCTAAGTGAGAAACACAAGAGAAGAAAAGGACCTACAAAAACAAACCCAAAACAATTAAGAATATGGTAACAGGAACTTACATGTTGATAATTACCTTTAATGTGGACGGATTAAATGCTCCAACCAAAACACACAGGCTTGCTGAACGGATACAAAAACAAGACCCATATATATGCTGTCTACAAGAGACCTACTTCAGACCTAGGGACACATACAGACTGAAAGTGAGGGGATGGAAAAAGATACTCCATGCAAACGGAAAGGAAAAGAAAGCTAGAGCACCAATGCTCATATCAGACAAAACAGACTTTAAAATAAAGAATGTAACAAGAAACAAGGAAGGACGCTACATAATGATCAAGGGATCAATCCAAGAAGAAGATGTAACAATTATAAATATATATGCACCCAACATAGGAGCACCTCAATACATAAGGCAAATGCTAACAGCTATGACATAAGGCAAATGCTAACAGCTATGAAAGAGGAAATCAACAGTAACACAATAATAGTGGGTGACTTTAACACCTCACTTACGCCAATGGACAGATCATCCAGACAGAAAATTAATAAGGAAACATAAGCTTTAAATGACACAATAGACCAGATAGATTTAATTGATATTTATAGGATATTCCATCTGAAAACAGCAGATTACACTTTCTTCTCAAGTGCACATGGAACATTCTCCAGGACACATGACATCCTGGGTCACAAATCAAGCCTTGGTAAATTTAAGAAAGGTGAAATCATATCATCTTTTTCAACCACAAGCTATGAGATTAGAAATAAATTACAGGGAAAAAAACATAAGAAACACAAACACATGGAGGCTAAACAATACATTACTAAATAACCAAGAGATCACTGAAGAAATCAAAGAGAAAATCAAAAAATACCTAGAGACAAATGACAATGAAAACACAACGATCCAAAACCTATGGGATGCAACAACAGCAGATCAAAGACGGAAGTTTATAGCCGTACAATCCTGCCTCAAGAAACAAGAAAAATCTCAAATGAACAATCTAACCTTACACCTAAAGGAACTAGAGAAAGAAGAACAAACAACACCCTAAGTTACTAGAAGGAAAGAAATCATAAAGATCAGAGAAGAAATAAATGAAATAGAAACAAAGAAAACAATAGCAAAGACCAATAACCTAAAAGCTGGTTCTTGGTGAAGATAAACAAAATTTATAAACCTTCAGCCAGACCCATCAAGAAAAAGAGGGAGAGGACTCAAATCAATAAAATAAGAAATGAAAAAGGAGAAGTTACAACGGGCACTGCAGAAATACAAAGGATCCTAAGAGACTCTACAAGCAACTCTACGCCAATAAAATGGACAACCTGGAAGAAATGGACAAATTCTTAGAAAGGTATAATCTTTCAAGACTGAACCAGGAAGAAATAGAAAATATGAACAGACCAATCACAAGTAATGAAATTGAAACTGTGATTAAAATTCTTCCAACACACAAAAGTCCAGGACCAGACGGCTTCACAGGGGAATTCTATCAAACATTTAGAGAAAAGCTAACACCCATCCTTCTCAAACTCTTCCAAAAAACTGCAGAGGAAGGAACACTCCCAAACTCATTCTATGAGGCCACCATCACCCTGATACCAAAACCAGACAAAGATACTACAAAAAAGAAAATTACAGACGAATATCACTGATGAATGTAGATGCAAAAATCCTCAGCAAAATACTAGGAAACAGAATCCAACAACACATTAAAAGGATCATACACCATGATCAAGTGGGATTTATCTCAGGGATGCAAGGATTCTTCAATATATGCAAATCAATCAATGTGATACACCATATTAACAAATTGAAGCATAAAAACCATATGATCATCTCAATAGATGCAGAAAAAGCTTTTGACAAAATTCAACACCAATTTATGATAAAAACTCTCCAGAAAGTGTGCATAGAGGGAAACTACCTCAACATAATAAAAGTCATATACGACAAACCCACAGCAAACATCATTCTCAATGGTGAAAAACTGAAAGCATTTCCTCTAAGATGAGGAACGAGACAAGGATGTCCACTGTCACCACTATTATTCAACATAGTTTTTGGAAGTCGTAGCCATGGTAATCAGAGAAGAAAAGAAATAAAAGGAATAAAAATTGGAAAAGTAGAAGTAAAACTGTCATTGTTTGCAGGTGACATGACACTATACATAGAAAATCCTAAAGATGCCACCAGAAAACTACTAGAGCTAATCAATGAATCTGGTAAAGCTGCAGGATACAAAATTAATGCACAGAAATCTCTTGCATTCTTAAACACTAATGATGAAAAATCTGAAAGAGAAATTAAGGGAACAATCCTATTCACCACTGCAACAAAACAAATATAATACCTAGGAATAAACCTACCTAAGGAGGTAAATGACCCATACTCAGAAAACTATAAGACAATGATGAAAGAAATCAAAGATGACACCAACAGATGGAGAGATATACCATGTTCTCGGATTGGAAGAATCATTATTGTGAAAATGACTATGCTACCCAACACAATCTACAGACTCAATGCAATCCCTATCAAACTACTGATGGCATTTTTCACAGAACTAGAACAAAAAATTTCACAGCTTGTATGGAAACACAAAAGACCCCGAATAGCCAAAGCAATCTTGAGAACGAAAAATGGAGCTGGAGGAATCAGACTCCCTGACTTCAGACTATACTACAAAGTTACAGTAAATAAGACAATATGGTACCAACACAAAAACAGAAATGTAGATCAATGGAACAGGATAGAAAGCCCAGAGATAAACTCTCGCACCTACGGTCAACTAATCTATGACAAAGGAGGCAAGGATATACAGTGGAGAAAAGACAGCCTGTTCAATAAGTGGTGCTGGGAAAACTGGACAGCTACATGTAAAAGAATGAAATTAGAACACTCCCTAACACCATACACAAAAATAAACTCAAAATGGATTAAAGACCTAAATGTAAGACTGGACACTATAAAACTCTTAGAGGATAACATAGGGAGAACACCCTTTGACATAAATCACAGCAAGATCTGTCTTGATCCACCTCCTAGAGTAATGGAAATAAAAACAGAAATAAACAAATGGGACCTAATGAAACTTAAAAGCTTTTGCACAGCAAAGGAAAGTATAAAGAAGATGAAAAGAAACCCCTCAGGATGGGAGAAAATATTTGCAAATGAAGCAACTGACAAAGGATTAATCTCCAAAATATATAAACAGCTCATGCAGCTCAATATTAAAGAAACAAACAATCCAATCCAAAAATGGTAAGACCTAAATAGACGTTTCTCCAAAGAAGACATACAGATGGCCAAGAGGCACTTGAAAAGCTGCTCAACATCACTAATTATTAGACAAATGCAAATCAAAACTACAATGAGGCATCACCTCACACCTGTTAGAATGGGCTTCACCAGAAAATCTACAAATGCTGGAGAGGGTGTGGAGAAAAGGGAACCCTCTTGCACTGTTGGTGGCAATGTAAAGTGATACAGCCACTATGGAAATCAGTATGGAGGTTCCCTAAAAAACTAAAAATAGAATTACCATATGACTCAGCAATCCCACTACTGGGCATATACACTAAGAAAACCATAATTCAAAAAGACACATGCAGGGCTTCCCTGGTGGCACAGTGGTTGAGAGTCCGCCTGCCGATGCAGGGGACATGGGTTTGTGCCCCGGTCCGGGAAGATCCCACATGCCGCGGAGTGGCTAGGCCCATGAGCCATGGCCACTGAGCCTGCGCGTCCAGAGCCTGTGCTCCACAACGGGAGAGGCCACAACAGTGAGAGGCCCACGTACCACAAAAAAAAGAAAGACACATGCACTGCAATGTTCACTGCAGCACTATTTACAATAACCAGGTCGTGAAAGCAACCTAAACGCCCATCGACAGAAGAATGGATAAAGAAGATGTGATACATATTATACAATGGAATATTACTCAGCCATAAAAAGGAATGAAATCCGGTCATTTGTAGAGACGCAGATGGACCTAGAGACTGTCATACAGAGTGAAGTAAGTCAGAAAGAGAAAAACAAATATTGTATATTAACGCATATATATGGAATCTAGAAAAATGGTACAGATGAAACGGTTTACAAGGCAGAAATAGAGACACAGATGTAGAGAATACATGTATGGATGGACACCAAGGGGGAAAGCAGGGAGGGGGGGATGAATTGGGAGATTGGGATTGACCTATATACACTAATATGTATAAAATAGATAACTAGTAACAACCTGCTATATAAAAAATAAAATTCAAAAGAAAAGAAATCTCTAATGACTCACCGCTTCCTATAAGAAAAAGCCCAGATTCTCCTGCCTCGAATACAGCCCTCTCTGTCCTAAGCTATCTCCAACTGCTAGGTGAGAGACTCCTAGTGACCCTAGAACATACAACCATTATTCTTGATGCCATGCTTCCTCTACTGTTTGCCACTCTCCCACTTCACCAACCGAAATCTAGACCATCCTGTGAGACGACTGCCAAGACCCGCTTTTGCCTTGAAACTCTCTCTCTGTACTCAAGCCCACAGTAAAGGCCACATCTCTGGCCTCTCTGCCTTTGCTACTTGCATCAGTCATTCTGTGCTCATCAAAGACTGCCTTGCACAGTTATGTAGCATTTTAAAAGTGTACACTTTGATTCCTCAGCTGGACTATGAGCTCCTTAAGGCTAGGATTCATGTTTTACAATTTTGGGGGTATTTCTCAAAGCCAGAGACAATGCCAGGCATATTATAGGCAAGTTCTAAATTCTTGTTAACTATTAAACATATATCTTAAATTCTTAGAAATGTTTCTTTTGGCTCTGTCTTCAACTGGGGACTTAAAATTGAACAAATCCACAGATTTCATATAATCCTAATGCTTCCACATATAATCAAATAATTTAAAACTTACAAGGAACAGGAGAAAAAAGCTCATCAGGACTTTCAGTCCCAAGTTACTTACCATTCTTCATCACTACATTGGACCAGACATTGGCATTCAAGGCTTGAACAATTCGCTTTACTCCTGTAGATTCTGGGAAGTCATCTAATCAGGGAGAAAAAATATATATACTTATACACGCACTTATACATACACACACACACACACACACACACACTCATCCCTAAATATTCATGAGAGAATAGCTCCAGGACCCCCCTCCCCACTGTGGATACCAAAATCTGCAGATGCTCAAGTGCCTTATATAAAATGGCATAGTATTCGTATATAATCTACCCACATTGTCCCATTTTTTTTCCTCCCACATACTTTAAATCATCTCTTAAATACTTAAAATACTGAATACTATGTAAATTTTTTGGAATTTTCTGGAATTTTTCTTCCAAATATTTTCAGTATGCTGTTGGTTGAATCCATGGAAGCAGAACCCTTGGATACAGAGGGCTGACCGTATATGTATATATAGCCCACAAGCCACATTTTTAAACAACTGTGGCTTAATTATCTTGCTCATTTGTTACTTCACATTGTAACTTAAGTAAAAAAAGGGAAAAAATTAAGGAAATACAAAGCTTAGAGCTCCTGTTAAGAATATTCTAGAAACTGGAGAGTGATCAAGATGGTGGAGGAGTAAGATGTGGAGCTCCCCTCCTTCAACAAATACATCAAAAATATATCTACAGGGGCTTCCCTGGTGGCGCAGTGGTTGAGAGTCCGGCTGCTGATGCAGGGCACACGGGTTCGTGCCCCGGTCCGGGAAGATCCCACATGCCGCAGAGCAGCTGTGCCCATAAGCCATGGCCGCTGAGCCTGCACATCCGGAGCCTGTGCTCCGCAACGGGAGAGGCCACAACAGTGAGAGGCCCGCGTACCGCAAAAAAAAAAAAAAAAAAAGTAGTTAAAAAAAATATATATATATATATCTACAGGTGGAATGATTCTCACAGAACATCTACAGAACACTGGCAGAAGACCTCAGACTTCTGAAAGGGCAAGAAAATCTCCATGTTACCACGTAGGACAAAAGAAAAAGAAAAAAAAGAGAGCGAGAGAAAGGAATCAGGACAGGACCTGCACCCCTGGGAGGGAGCTATGAAAGAGGAAAGGTTCTGACACCCTAGTAAGTCCCCTCACTGGTGGGGAGATCAGCCAGGATAGAGGGGTAGCTTCGGCGCCATGGAGGAAAGTGCAGCAACTACCTGCAGAAGGCAAAATGGAGGGAGACCTACACAGACAGTCAGTACGGCTGCCCTGCACTCCCCAGCCTGAGACGTGCATCTGTCGGTGCAGGCGGGGGCTGGGTGCTGGAGCTTTGGAGGTCAGACCCAGGGAGACGACTGGGGCTGGCTGCACGGAGATAGCCTGAAGGAGCTGGAGGGTGGTATGGCCGCAACCAAGGGTGTACATGGAAGAAGCCTGGGCCCGCCATAGAGGTAAGGTGCCACTGTTGGGGGGCATGCAAGGAGAGGGGAGGACCGCTTTAGGAGCCTCTTTCCCCATGTGCATGGTATCACGTGACAGGACACAGCCTACACGAGTTCTGAGGGCAGGCATGAGCCGCCGCAGGCACTGAGACATCCAGGAGCAGGCGCCAATTGCTGCCCCCACCATTGTGGGATCCAGAAGCACACATGAGCCGTCACCGTGGGCCCTGGGAGTGGGCACCAGCCAGTGCTGCCATTGCAGGCTGTTATCCCCTTGATAGGGAGCGCACAAGAGCTGCAGCATCTGCACACCCCCTATCAAGGGGATAACAGCCAGCATATGCTGAGGAAAGATGCAGAAGGCATCCATATGAAAAGCAGCCCTTGCACCAAATACATTAAACCCACACAAGCTACACAGGGATGCTCCTGCATATAAGTAGCCTTCCAAGATCACAGTAGATAACTGTTTTTCCTAAACTCACAGAGTAAGAGAAATATACATAAAATGAAGAAGCAGAGAAACCACTCCCAGTTAACAGACCAAGAGAATCCCCGTAAAAGAACAATGAAACAGACCTCTTCAGTGTAACAGACACCAAGTTCAAAAAGGAGCTAATGAACATACCAAAGGAATTAAGAAAGTCTACCGAAAAAAATGCAGATTACTGTAAAAAGAAACTAGAAACTAGAAGGAGGAGCCAAGAAAAATTAGAAAATTCATTTCCCGAGATTAAAGCTGAGCTAAATGCAATGACTAGCAGAATGAATAATACAGAAGAATGAGTAACTGATCTGGAAGATAAAATAGTGAAAACCACCCAATCAGAACAGCAGACAGAAAGCCAAATGAAAAGAAAAATGAAAACAATATAAAAAGACCCACGGGATAATATAAAGCATGCCACTCTATGCATAACAGGGATTCCAGAAGAAGAGAAACGGAGATTGAAAAGGTATTTGAAGAAATTATGCCTGAAAATTTCCCAAACCTAATAAAGGAAACAGATATCCAGATATAGAAAGCACAGAAGGCCACGAACAAAATGAACCCAAACAGACCTACACCAAGACATATTACAATCGAAATGGCAAAAGTTACACATAAAGAGAGGATTCTAAAGGCAGCAAGAGAAAAACAAAGAGTTAATTACAAGGGAATCCCCATAAGGCTATCAGCTGATTTCTCTACAGAAGCACCACAGGCCAGAAGGGAGTAGAAAAACATATTCAAAATCTTGAAAGGGAAAAATCTGCAATCTACAATGCTCTACCCAGCAAAATTATCATTTAGAATAGGAGAGATAAAGAATTTCTCAGAGAAGCAAAAACTAAAAGAATACAGCAATACTAAACCTATCCTAAAAGAAATATTCAGAGGTCTCCTCTAATTTGAAAAGAAGCAAGAAGATATAGGAAAGAGGAAATCACAACTGGAAAGTAAATCACTTAAGTAAGCCAGTATACAGATGGAAAAAAAATTTTTTTAATCAATTTGTGAAAGAGATGATAAACGCAAGGAAGAGCAAAAGGATAAACATAAAGATGTAAAAGAGGCCATCCAAATCATAAAATGTGGGAGAGGAGAGTAAGAAAATGTAGATTCTTTTTTTTAGAATGCATTTGAGCCTATATGACTGTCAGTCTAAAGCAAGCAGATATAGTAAGGAGTTAACATACTTGAAAAACAGGGTAACCACAAATCAAAAACATACAATAGATTCACAAAAACCAAAAAGAAGAGAACACAAGCATAAAATAAAAGAAAATCATCAAACCACAAAATGAAAAGCAAAAAAGAAAAAGAAAGGGACAAAGAAGAAACACAGCATCAACTGGAAAACAAGGTTTAAAATGGCAATAAATACATATTTATCAATAATTACCTTAAATGTCAATGGACTAAATGCTCCAATCAAAAGACAGAGTGGCAGACTGGATAAAAAAACAAGAAAGTACAATATGCTGCCTACAAGGCACCCACTTTAGGGCAAAGGAAACACACAGATTGAAAGTGAGGGTATGGAAAAAAGACATATCATGCAAATGGAAATGACAAGAAAGTGAGGGTCGCGATACCCACGTCAGACAAAATAGACTTTAAAACAAAGGCCATAAAGAAAGATAAAGAAAGACACTATATAATGACAAAAGGATCAATAAAAGGAGAGGATTTTACACTCATCAACATATATGTACCTAATATAGGAAAACCCAAATACATAAAACAAATACTAACAGACATAAAAGGAAAAATTGACAGGAATACAATAATAGTAGGCAACTTTAATACCCCACTCACATCAATGGACAGATCTTCTAGACAGAAAATCAATAAGGCAACAGATATCCTAAATTATACAATAGAACAGTTAGACTTAATTGATATTTTCAGGGCATCATATTCAAAAAACCCAGAATACACATTCTTTTCAAGTGCCCATGTAATATTCTCTAGGACTGATGACATACTAGGGCACAAAACAATAGAGCCATATTCACCACAAAGAAAAGAGAGAGAACCCAAAATAGAAAAAAAAATCAATATAGAAAAAAAATCAATAAAATGAAGAGCTGGATCTTTGAAAGGGTAAACAAAATTGACAAACTTTTCTTTATGGTGAGTAGCCAGACTCACCATAAAGAAAAGAGAGAGAACCCAAATAAACAAAATAGGAAATGAAAAAGGAGAAATATCAACCAAGACCGCAAAAATACAAAACAACCATAAGAGAATACTATGAACAATTATATACCAACAAATTCAACAACCTAGAAGAAATGAACAAGTTTCTAGAAACATACAGCCCATCAAAATTTAATCAAGAATATAACAGATAATTTGAAACGACCTATCATTAGAAGTGAAATTGAATCTGTAATTAAAAGAAAAAAAAAAAAAACTCCCTACAAACAAAAATCCAGGACCAGATGGCTTCACAGGTGAATTCTACCAAACATACAAAGAACTTTTACCAATCCTCAAACTCTTCCAAAAGACTGAAGAGGAGGGAACACTCCCGAAGACATTCTATGAAGTCACTATCACCCTGATACCAAAACCAGACAAAGATACCACCAAAAAAGAAAATTACAGGCCAGTATCTTTGAGGAATATAGAAGCAAAAATTCTCAACAAAGTATTAGCAAACTGAATCCAACAAAATATACAAAAGATCATACACTATGACCAAGTGGGATTCATCCTATATTCATAAGGATGGTTCAACATATGCAAATCAATCAATGTGATACACCGCATGAACAAAAGACAAAAACCACATGATCATCTCATTAGATGCAGAAAAACCACCTGACAAAATCAACATCCATTAATGATAAAAACTCTTACCAAAGTGGGTATAAAGGGAACATATCTCAACACAATAAAAGTTACTTATGACAAACCCACAGCCAATATACTCAATGATGAAAAGCTGAAATCATTCTCTCTAAAATCTGGAACAAGGATGCCCAGTCTCACCACTTCTATTCAACATAATATTGGAAGTCCTAGCCACAGCAATCAGATACGAAAAAGAAAATGTATCGAAATTGGAAGGGAAGAGGTAAAATTGTCACTATATTCAGATGACATGATACTATATATAGCAAGCTCTAAGAACGCCACACAAAAACTACTAGATATAATAAATGAAT